CTGAAATAGCGGCTCCAGATGATAAAAAATCATCTTTTTCAACAAAACTTGCATGGTCATTTTTAGATGACAGTGTAATGTTATCTACACTTCGAGGACTTGACTTATTTAACACATATGTATCCTTCACTTTCTGAATACCAGTTGAATTCTCACTTCCTTTATCTAAATATAATGATATCAATTAGAAAATTAGACATTTCTATAATAAAACTTACATCTAAGAAAAAGAATCTTGCAATTTTTTTATTATTTATAACACACATATCGCAATTACTAAAATGATACAAATATTAACAACATAGTTAACATGCAATGCTAGATTAACTTGGACTGTTAAAAACAGCTATACCCTGCTCCCAAAAACTGGCTCTTTGGGAGCAGGGTATAGCTGATTATTAAAACCCAAAAGTTATATTTAAAATATATATATAATATGCTTATTATTTACAAATATGATAAAATTAGGTATAATATAAAAACAAAGTTTGAATTTTTATAAAACTAATTTTTTTTATCTAAATATCAAAGTAATCAGTGAAAAGGTTTATCTAATTTTTTAATACAAAATAAAGGAATAAAATGAAAAAAAATTTAACACTTTGCAAAATAATATAGCTAGCATATGAACATTTAATTAGGCTATTTTATAAGTTAAATTTGTTTGCATATTGGAAGCAACAACCAGCAATAAAAGATTATTTTTTTAAAAAAAGGAAAACTTTAATTTTAACTAATTTAGCTCTTGAAAGTTAAGTTGTTTGGTTTCAATATAATAATTGATTTTACCACTTGATAGACAGGGTTTCCAGATATCAGTTTTTTCATTCAATAACATTGCAACATACTAACTTTTCTACATAAGTTTGAGTTAATTTTGATCATTAACTATGATCATAGAGAAATACCAGGAAAATCAAAAATTTTAGAGAATTGTATCAAATATATGCTAAAAAGATTTTTAAAAATGTATTGAAAAACATTTCTTTGAATACAATTAGAAACATTTTACTACGAAAAAAACTTTATAAAAACCTATGTTGTCAACCAGAGATCAGCTTACAAGATAAAGTTGGTGAAAGTAATTTTAAATGATGAAAGTAAATTTGGATAAATTTGAATAAATTCGGATAAAGTAATAAATAGAAAGAGCAAAATTCTAGTTAAAATTTTAAATTGGAAAAGTATAGTAATTGCTTTACCGAACCGAAGTTACAAGATGGAAGTGTTGGTATTTGGGTCTGCTTTAATTTGAATGGAGTAGGCGTGTGTAACATTTATACAGACCAAATTAACCAACATACATATATAGGGATGCTAGAGTACTGTATGATAATCAGTTGACATTTTAATTGTTCGAAAACAAATTGGGGCTATTTCAAGAAAATTTGGCGCTTGCCCACACACATCATACAGTAAAAACATGGATGAAAGAAAACAAAGTAGAATAATTGGCCAGGCCAACTTGCTCACAAAAACACTTAATGGAGGTATTTTAAATACTAGTTTAAATTATATTTTTGTTGCATTAATTTATTGTTTTTTTATTTATATTTTTGTAATTATGTTTGATAATGTTTTTATGTAAAGTTTTATATTTTAGTATGACATCCAAGATTTTTTAAAAAAAGAATTTGAAAAAAAAATTGTTAAAAATCTTTTTTAGTTTCGATTATATGGTATTTGAATTTTCTTTAGGCAACATAATTTTAATCTGCTTAATTTTTTTGAAAGCATTGTATGAATGAAACCAAACTTTTGACACCTTATTATGCAAAATTGACACCAAATTTAGCATAATTGATACCTAATTTTGCATAATTACAACTAGATTTTTTCATTTCAATTTTAAACTTAAATAAATAAATAATAACAGTAAAAATACTTTTATCATCAAAGTACATTAACCAGGGCTCAAATTAACGCAAAAAAGTCTAATTGCGAAAAAAAAAAAATTTTTTTAGATTAGTTTTAGGGGGAGGGGGTTGAATTAGTATAAAATTGTATTTTTTGTACATAAGTTCGTAATTTTAATTTTTAACATATTATCTCTCATATTTAAATATTATCTTATAATTTTCTTGTTTGACGGAATTTTAAATAGCTTAATTTACTGTCATAATTTACAGCTTAAGTTATAATTTAAAGTTTAAGTTACCTTTAGTGCAACAAGCAAGAAACGTATTTAATACTATTAAGATATTACTTTTAGTAATTGTTTTTATTTAACATGATACTTGTAAAAGTAAAAGCAAAAAAGTAAGAATAAAAACAAAAATATTACAATATTTAAACCACTTTAATTAGTCATAGAAAACTATTGTTTTCTATGACTAATTTAAATAACTAATAAAAAGACTAATAAAAACTCTTTAAAATTAACACGTGTTTTATTTGTTATAAAACACGTGTTATTTTTAAAGAGTATATATTTGTTATTATAAAAAGCTATAAAACAACAATAAAACAAACTGCAAAGTTGTTTTAACAATATAAAGAGCTTGTATTAATGTAAAACGACTTCGTGGCGCTGTTTTATTGCCATTATATACAGTTTATAACCTCAAAAACATAAAACACGTTTAAAATAATTCGAAGTAAATAAATAGAACTGTTCTAAATAATAAATTAAAACATTATCGCCAAAAAACTTTATATTTGCGCTAAAACATGCCTAAAAGACTACACCAGTCAAAACCATTTCAAGACTAAACGATTAAGATCAAAGCAAAAAAACAATAGGTACCAGGTTTTTTATAATTTATAGTTGCTTGATCTAGCATACTATTAAAAATTCATGTATAATTAAATTTTCATTCAAATGGTTTTTAAGTTAATGTTTCATTCAAATCATTTTACAATAAAAAGTAAAACAAAAAAATTTGGTTTAATAAATCAAATGATATTTCCTTAAGTTTAAGAATATGCCTAATTTTTTTTTTAGAAAAAAATTTCTTTGCACAGAAGTAACAACTTAATTTTATTTTAATTAAAATAAAATAAATTTTTTTAATTTTACTGGTTTAATGTTTGCAATAGAATGTTTCTTATTTTAAAAAAATTTTCAAGAAACAAAATATATTTAACTATTCAAAACATTCATGATTTAAATAAAACTTTCTTCCTTACTTGCACTAGGTTGTAAATTTAATATTGTTACTGTAGATAGATATATATTTAACTTTTAGCAATGATTTTCGCTATGCTCGGTATTACAGACGCCTCTGAATTAAATTTATGATTATTGAGCATTAAAATTCTTTTAAATTTAAAAAAAATTTTTTTCAATTCAAAAATAAATCATAAAATTATTTGAATCATAGAATTTAAGAAGACAAAAATTCCTTTGTTCAAAAGATTTCTTTTAAATTAAGTTCCTAAAAACAATTTATTTATAGAAAATGTTTGATCTATATAATGCTTAAAATAAAATATAAAAATGTTGATGCGTTTTTTATGTTCTTTTTAAGATTTCTTGTTAAAATAATATTTAGTAAGAAGCTTATATTCTGTGTTAACAACATATAAGATAAATAGAAACATTTATATGGCTAGTTTTTGCGAGTTGAGTATATCAAGTTAATTCGATAGTTGAGTAACTGCAACTTACTCAACTATTGTACAACAACTGTAGTAACTTAACTGGTTGTTTTGATTTAGTTTGAAGGTAAATTTACTGTGATGTACATCATTTAGTAAATCAAACTAAATATAACTTTAAAATAAGATTGGCTTCCGCGCAGAGATTTAAAATAATTTAAAAGTGCTTTATGTTGAATAAAATCTCTGCCCAAGAGACCAAAGATTATCTTGCTATTCAAAAGATCAATTTAGAGTGACGTACTTTATGATCCCTAATAAAAAACTTAGACAAAAACATTACTTTTAACAATGGACCAAAAAAATGCAAAGTTAAAAAATAAAAAAAATAAAAGGGACCCCCAAGTGTCAACCCAAGTTGTGTTCACTTCATAGATAAACATTAGAAAATAAGTTCAAGGTTGATTAAACTTTCCAAAACAAATTATTAAATGAAATATTAATAAAAAACATGAATAATAAATAATGTGCTTATATTTGACATCAATAAAAAATGTTTCTTTCCAAAAACTTAAATCAAGCTTAAATTACAGGGGTCTCCCCTTAAGCGGTTAAACAAAAATAGAAAATGTAAGTTTTTAAAATCAATTTTATATATATCTGAAAAATATATATTAGATCATTTTAAAAACAGTTTCTTGAATTAGAAATATAAATTTCTATAAACATAAGTTAAAAATATATACAAGATCATTTTCAAAGCGGTTTCCTCAATTTTTTAAAAAGAAAGATTTTTAAATCTTTCAAAATTTAACCATATTAGATCATATAATACATAGTGTTGTATATAAAAAAATTGATAACTTATTTTCTAAGAAAAATATTCATCTCATGTGTTTTAAAGTTAGCTTCCCTTTATTACTATTTTTATTATGCTAGTTTTTTAAACTCAAACACTTAACGATACATTGAACAAAAAACAAAAACATGCTATAGCGAATGTTTTTTATAACCACGGCAGACTAAATATGAAGGGGAAAACCCAATCTGACTGTGTAAAACTGAAATAAGTTTCAAAAACTCTGCAGTGAGCGAAAACATTTTATTGAAACCAGATACTTTTTAATAAAAAAAACTATGCAGATTATGAAGAAAATCATAGAAAAAGTCAGCTTCAAGGTAGTTTTATGAGGTACAATGATAAGAGGATTTTGATAATAAAGAAGAATGAGATAACAATTTTAGAGAGATAAAACCCTGATAAGAAGCACCTAAAGGGGAGAAATATGAGAATTCTGATGAGAAACTGAGCATTGACTAGGATCAGAAACAAGACTTAAGTTGAGTAGAGAAGGTAAATGCATTGGATTGTCAGGAAAATAAGTTGGAAAGTAGGAAAGTAGTTTCCTGACAAATGGACCAATTCTTATAAATGTAATAGGTTCAAACCCGGTTTCCCAACATATGAGTGAATACTTATAAATGTTAATACCCAGGCCAAGCGTGTGACAATTGGAATCTTTACAAATTAAAGAAAGATAACCATTAAGGCTAAGATCGCAAGATGAAACAGCTAAACTCAAACTAGCCTCACAAAGAGAAAGTAGATATGGTGAACTATGCAA